CAAATAAGAGTTTCTGCTCTGTACCAGGCACAGGTAGAGGTATCTTCGCTGGTTGTGTCTCTAGAGTCGCAGAGTCACTTCCCTCGCAGAGGCACATCAGCCACACTTCCTGCCCCGTTCATCTGATCTCCTCCCTCATCCATCCTGCCTCCCTCCCTGCCTCTTCAGTCTGCCATCGCCCCGGTCCAGGCTGTGGTTCTCTTCTCCCAGCAGGACCTTATGTCTTCCTACCCCTGATTTAGGCTCCGACGTGCAGTTGACAGGTGTGTCTACATCCGTCTGCCTCAGTTTCCAAAGTACAGTCGACAGGTGTCTTCACACCCCTTTCACACTTACGGGATCTTCATGGTCCCTCAGTTGTCCTGTATACCTATTAAAGTGGGGGTGGGGGGGGCTTTCACTGGACATGATGGTCCATGCTTGTAATTCCAGGGCCTTGGGAGGCTGCGGTATAGTGCCATGAACTCAAGGTTGGCCTGAGTTACGTATCAAGTGTCAGATCAGCCAGGGATACATACCAAGCCCTCAAAAAAAAAAAAAAGAATAAATAATAAATGAATTTTTTAAAAAAGGAGTTGTCAGTGTGGCACAGTTGGTAAAGTGTTTGCCTAAAATATGTAAAGGTCCAGTTGGCGCCCTAGCACCCCATAAACCCAGCTTAGTGGCATTTGCCTGTGATCCCATTACTGAAGACAGGGAGACAGGAGGATCGGGAGTTCAAGATCATCCTTAGTTACACTGAGTTTGAGACTAGCCTAGGCTACATGAGGCCTGTCTGTTAAGTAAATGAGTGAAAACAAACTGGAAATACAAAAATAAGCCAGATGTGGTGACGCATGCTTTTAATCCTAGCACTAGGGGGCAGACGAAGGTGGATCTCTGAGTCTGAGGCCAACTTGGTCTACAGAGTGGATTCTAGGTCAGCCAGGCGTACACAGAGAAACCTGTCTCAAAAACAAGCAAATAAATAAATAAAGCAGGAGAGGTCGCTCCTTAGCCTGCTTTCCCATCCTCCTCTGGCTGGCTACCACTCCAACATTCTTGTCATTTCCTACACTCCCAGCTACAGCCAGTTCTGAGGCCTTCTACTCAGGCCTCCTTACAGACCCCTCCCCTTCAAGCCTCATTCCAGCAGGGAATTGCTGTCCAGCCCCCAGGGACTGCCCTTGTGCCTGTCCGTGTGCTCTCTCCAACCTCCCAAAGTCTCTCACAGACGGTCACTGCATTCCAGTGCTGAGGTCACTTTCTGTCACACTGGGTGGTGTGGTGTGTCCTCTTGTGAGCTGTGGTGAGCAGCTGTTGACACGGCTTGTGCTTTGATGGCACTAACTACATTTCGAGCTTTCTCTAGGAAGATGGAACCAAGACATGTGCCTATGCTGGATGATAACTACCCGGATGAAGGTATCCCGATACGCAAATGTGATGGTTTGCAACCAGAACTCTTTCCTATGTGGAATATACCTGTGATCCCAGCACGTGGGAGGTGGAGGCAGGAGGCTCAGAAGGCCAGGGTTATCCTCACCCATACATCAAGTCTGAGGCCGGCCTGGGTGACATGAGACCCTGCCTCGAACAAATAAACAAACAAAAATTCGTATCTGGAAGCCATGATGATGTTCAGGGATTACACTTCCAAGTCCCAGTGTCTTCAGACTGTCCTTGGGAACATCTCGCTGGTCTCTAGTCTGCAGCTGGCACTGCCCAGCTAGGAGTCTCTGCCTCGTTATTGCTGATTTGATGATGCTCCAGACCCCCCTTAGTGTCATTTTGGCTGCCATGGTCTCCCTGCCTATTTGGACAATTTCTTCTCCAGAAATGCCCTGTTTTATTCGTCTCGAGACCTCAAAATGATATTGTAAACTTTTTGTTCGTGCTGCCTCGCGTGTGTTGTAGCAAGTGCTTGGCTCCGAAGTCATCCTCGTTTCACCTGGCATGTCATTTGACGAGGCAAGTTTACCCTCTCCTTAGTGGAATCATGACTCTATGGGTTAAATTACCACCAGGTATTGGGAAACTATACAACCTCGTTGGCAAACAGGCAAAGCAAGCCCGCCCGGTGGCTCTTGCTTAAATCTTTTTGCTTTTTATTGTGCTGAGGCTGGGCTTTTCTATACAGCCCAGCCTGGCCTCCAACTTGCTATCCTCCTGTAAGGGGTTATTGAGGTGTGCATCTCCACCGCCAACCTTGCTTAAATCGTTATCATTGGATTTATTATCGTTATTATTGTGTTTATTCATGAGGGGTATGTGTGCTTTCCTGGAGATGGAGTTAGAGGTGGTTGTGAGCTGCTGATATGGGAAATGAACTCAGGTCCCTAGCAGAGCAGGAAGCAGTGTTAAACACTGAGCCATCTCTCTAGGCTCCTTTGTGTATCTTGCTTATAGTGACAGTCTTGACTGAACTAAACAGCGTTTTGTACTCTGCAGTGAGAAAGCCTCTAAATTTCTGACTTTGGTGATATAAGCTTGTTCTCTTAGGAGTTGGAAGGCAAGGTAGCAGGACCTCTTGGACTTCACAAGCCCCTCTCTCAAAAAAACAACAAAGTGTCTATCTCTCTCTCTCTCATTTATTCACTTACCCATGACACAGTCAGCTAAGGAGCTTTTTCCAAGTTTACTCACCCGTTGTACTTACCCTAAGTTCTGAGACTTCAGTACTCGCTACTACTGGGTTTCCTTTTCTGCACAATGCCTGTACTCCTGTTTGTCCTCATGTCTGGACTGGGGCTGGAGTGTGGCTCTCAGTGGTAGAACACTGATCTAGCATATATGAGGTCCTTAGTTCAGTTCCCAGCACTCAAAACACAGAGCAGTCAAACCAGAAACAGCTATCCAGGGTGCCTGGAGGGTCCGGAGACTCGAGTCAACAGTTGGATAGATAACATTACCTCACTGCGGAGGAAAAGGACCACAGAAACAGTCATTCATGAATCTGATTTACCATCAGATTTTTTTTTTTTTTCAGAACAGTTCTGGGGATTAAATTCCAGGCTTCAGGCATGCTAGGAAACTTCTCTACTAGTGAGCTATACGGTAGCCCTTGCTCGTTAGGATTCTAACGATGATCAAAGGCCAAGTCACTCTGCTACAGAAACTGAAACTCTTATTTTACCTTATCCTTTAAATTACTGGTTGCATTCACACCTGTACTCGCCATGACTAAACTTCCTTTTTCTCGTTTTCAGACTTTTTTTTTAAAAATTAATTAAACAGGCTTTAATTCCAAAAATATTCCCAATGGGCCCCTGAGGGACTTAAACTCAGAGGTCTCTCTAGAGTAACTAACACCAAAGAAACATTCATTAACGATGTTCAGTTGTGTCAGCTGATCCTAGAGAAAGAATACTCATACTTAAAAGATACTATGTATCTCTCTATCACTCCGGAATTAGTGGCATTTTTCTTCTTTATTTTTATTTTATGTCTTCTGTCTGCACGTATGGCTGTGAACCACATGCCTGCAGTGCCCACAGAGACCAGAAGAGGGCACTGGATCTCTTGGGACTAGAGTTTTACATGGTTCTGAGTCACCAGTCGGTTGCTGGAAAAGGGACCTAGATTCTCTGAAAGAGCAGCCAGTGCTCTTAATTGCTGAGCCATGTCTCCAGCTCCAGGAACTAACGTCGCTTACACTGAGACGAGTTCCTTGAGAGCAGAAGCGCAGCCTGACGCTGGCCGGTGCTGACAAGGAAGTACCCACAACTGTGGTTGAGTTTAATTCTGCGTGGGCAGAGGGCGTGTGGAAGCGGGTTAAGAGAGTTTGACTGTGGGTCTCAAAGGAAGCTGGTGCTCTACTTGTGCAGCCTCAGGGATGCAAATCCGAGGAGACCACTGTTTGCATACAGAGCAGGAAACCAAGCCTGAGCCTGGCTGAGGACGAGTGGAGGCCAGGGGCAGGGTATAAATCTTGCAAAAGGCTCTCCTGGTCCACGCAGCTCCAGACCAGAGCTGATTCGGGGTAGGGGGGTAGGCTTCGTCTCAGGTGGGAGTTTCTCGGCTCTTTTCTATCGCGTAAAAGTAGTGGGGTGGGATAGGGTAGACAGAATGTGATAAGGACGGTTTCAAACCTTTTGCTCGCGGCCCCCCTCCATCCCCGCCACACACACATACACACACACACAGTCACACCTGAAGCAAAAGGAGGCTAAGGGCTAAATTCTTGGTGGCGTGAGGAAGGGAGAGCCTGGGGAGGTGGAGTTAGGGGGCAGGAACCAACAATTTGGAGGTGCATGCCCCCTCCTCCACTCTGTGTGGAGGGGTCGTCTGAAGCTCCAGAGGAGCTTCCACTTTCAGAGGAAGGGTGGAGAAGGCAAGCTCCCATCTTCCCAGACCCGGGGTTCGCTAGGTCGGGGAGTGCCTTGCTTGTAAACCCGGGGTCCACAAGGACTGGGGGGGCCCCTAGCGGCAAGCCACAACTTCGGCCTGGCACTTCCTGCCCAGCCCAGGCGGGGTTCGCGGAAGACGAATTTGGACGGAGGGGCGTGGCCAGCGCCGGCAGGAGGCCGGACCGGGGCCCGGGGCGTGGCCACGGCAGGGCCAATGCCCGCAAGAGGCCTCCCGGCGCCCCGGCGCCCGCCCCACCCAGTCTCCTCCTTGCTGGCCCCACTGCCCGGAAGGCTGTCGGCTGGGGGCGGCCCACGTCTGCCCAGCCTTCCGTCTCCCGCCCTGCCCCGGGCAGGCCCCGCCCCGTCCCGCATTCCAGCGGTGGGGGCTCCGTGGGTTTTGTGTATTTTTATATTTATTTAGAGTGCGTGTATAAATGGGGGTGGGGAGAGCCCGTGCCACGGTGCATGTGAGGTCAGAGGACAACGTGTGGGAGTTTGTTACTTTGTTTTCATCTGGCAATCAGATGCAGATCTATCAGACTGAGTGCCCAGGCAGTCCCTCTTGACCGACTTCCTCCTGCCCAGCAGGATTCTGAAGTAGTCACAGGGCTGTCACAGGTGCGAGACTTCCACGTACTTCAGGTCCCCTCCCCAAAAACCACAGAGACAGAATAGGAGGGGGTCTAGCATTTCTCTTTAGTTCTGATCACACCGAGGTGCTGGGTCACAGAGAAGGCACTTAATCGGGAAGGTCATCGGATCCAGGCCACCCATTTCCTCTCTCCCTTCACCAACTCCCTTGGCACTTGTTTGCGGGTCCACTTCACCCTCATATTCTGGGGAGAGCCCGAAGGCTTGAACTCCAGACTCAGCAAGTATGGGGAAGGGCTTGAGAAAAAGAAGTCAGAGTTGACAGAGTGACCTGGGAGCTGCCCCCAGCCAGCAGGCTGCAGGGGGGAAGTGGAGGGGGTTGGGGGAGTTGGCACGGGGGAGTGGGCCTGCTTAGTAAGGTTTGGAGACCTCCCGAACCCCACCTCCTGAAGATACTCAGGCGAAGGCACTGGTGAAGACTGGGGTTTCCGGAGGTGAGGCACCAGGGATGAGGCAGAGAACCCCCTCCCACTCAGCTTGGTGGGACTAGCTCACTGCTGGGCACAGAAGATACTCAATAAATGTTTTTTGAACGAATAGTAAAAGGGCTGAGACAGACAGAAGGCCGGGCCTGACCCCTCAGCCCAGCTTGTTCCATTCAGAAAATAGTTTTAAAAATGTAAAAATCCTTTCCCTCCCCCATCCCCCCAATTTCTGGGCCCAGGGAAGGGGAGAGGGAGGAGTGTTTACTCCCACCCTTTTCTCTCTCCTTCCCTTAAAAAATCTATATACACATGTACATATTTATACGGCTCCATGGGGGGGAGGGGGGGGAGTCCTGCCAAGCCCCAGGGCTTTGGGGGTGATTTGGGGTTTAAATGATACAGGGAGCAGCCATCAGCCTTGGACAAGCCGGACTGGGGGTGTGCCCTAAGGAAGGTTCCCCAGCTCTTTTACAAGTGGTAATAGACTTTCTTCCTCTCCCTCCCACGTAGAAACTAGTGGGGCACCATCGACCCAGGAGCGAGGAGGGGTAGGGGAGAGGCAGGTTCCCCTCAGGTCAGCCTAGATCTGGGAAAAGCTGATCAGCAAAGAGGGTTGGTTGTATGCAAGGCACTTGGTATCCAAGGCACGGGGCAGCAAAAACCCTGCCCCTACCCCCCAAAGCACACCTGGGGCTGAGAGGCCCAATTTGGCAGCAGAGAAACATGGCATCGTGGAGAAGAGGAGACTGAAGGGGAGAGCAGCAGGCAGGGCCCCCCTCCCAGGTCCCCTGAGAAGAGGGGGAGAAGGTCGAAGGCACTGACTCAGGGGCCCAAGGGCTCACTGTCCTCCATGCAGCACGGCAGAGGCAGAGGAGACGCCCTCTCCCCCAGGGCCACGAGTGTGGCGTAGCCTGTGAGTTTTGTTTAACAGCACAGGCGGGTGCCCGCAGTCCACTGGGAGGAGGCGTGGGCCTTGGTGAGGGGCAGCTCCTGGCCCCAAGACACCTCACTAGCTCCCGGGCCTAGGCTGCCTGAGGACTGAGTAGACGTCATCCACGCGGCTGAGTTGCTCGAAGAAGGGCAGGAGATCGTGTAGCTCAGTGTCGCTCATGTTGTCAAACCACGAGGCCACTGGTACCTGGGGAGATGGCAGGAAAGTGAGAAGGGCAGCTCTCTCAGGGGGCAGACACAGGTAACAGGAAGTTACTGGACCCCCTGAGGCTCCCAGGTACTCACGGCATTGTCTGGATGGAAGACGTAGGAGGCGGGGGAGTTGTCTAAAATGAGCACCCTCCGCAGGTCTCGGCCCAGCCTGCTCAGGTCCTTTACGTAATTCCCCCGATGGAAGACACACGATTCTCGAAACAGCCGGGCACGGAAGGCTCCCCACTTGTCCAGCAGATCAGCGACAGGGTCTGCATACTGGGAGTTAGGAGGGAAGTCACCCCGGAGTTGAGTAAATGCCCAGGGTTGCCGGTTGAAGGTGGGTGGGAGGGCATGGTGGCCCCCAGGCCCCGGGGAAGGGCTCACCTTGGCAAGGCTGGCAGTGAACAGCACACACTCAAAGAGCTCGCCCATTCGCTGTAGGAACTCATCTACGTGGGGCCGCTTCAACACATAGACCTGGGGAATGAGCCAGTGAGGGAGCCGCTGGCCCACAGGCTTGGCGGTGATAAACAGGAATTGGACAGGCACAATGGAGGAGGCCGGGCCCACGATCCATGGGCTCCCCGAGGCCTGCGAGTTGCCCCCAACCGCCCCCCTTCCTAAGGAGAATCAGAGAGGTCCAACCTCACCTAGAGGCAGTCACTAATCCATCCCCAGTCCCTTTCCCGTATTGGTTTTATCCCAACGCAGGATAGCCCAGGTTAGCCCTCTCACCCCAAGGCCGCAGGGCACCGGCCCCCGAGCCAAGTAATGGAGAACAGGCTGGCCAGCACCACAACCTATCCTGAATTACTTGAACTGGGTCCCGGGCAGTGGGAGCATGAGGGGAAAGAGGGCTCCACAAGACAAGGCCAGAAGGAGCCCACTCTGCAGGTCTGGGGGTCTGGCACCCTCTTTGAGCTTTGAGGGTTCCCCATCTATCAGAGTTCCACGTGGGGCTCCCTCAAGATTGGTGGGAGGTACCCGGGCGTAGAGCACGGGCGCCAATCCCGGCCCCCACCTCCCTCCTGACCCTCACCTGGTGAACCACTCCATCGATCTCCACTGGGATGATAAAATCAGCGTTGTTCACTGGCTGTGAGGAGAGAAGGATTGCTGGAGCTGGTGGAATGGATGTCCCAGGGATGGCAATCCAGTGGAGACCTCCCTCCCTGGCCAGGGCAGGCCCCCTCGGAGGCTGTGGGCTGCTGGACAGGGCCCACCTTGAAGGAGCTGTGCACCAGGGTCTCGTCCAGGTCGATGACCACGCAGATCTTGTCCGAGTCCTGGGCCTTGGCCTCGGGAAGCAGGTACTGGACTGGGGTCTGCTGTGGGGAGGGGCTGGGCTGGGTGGGGCGCCTCCCACACGGGGCTTCCTTCCCCAGATCTCTACCCGAGGACCCAACCTGACCTTCCACCCTCTCCCCAGCTCTGGTCTTGCCAACTGTGAGCCAGGGTTGGGCTCCAGGGGTCCTTCTTCCTCCCCTCAGAAAGCTCCCGTCTATAAGGGGATATACTGATCTCAGGCCAACCACAGCTGTGGGCAGGATGGCGTTTGGAGGGGGGGGGAAGCACTGGAAAAGGGCGGGACTCAGTGGGCAGGTACTCTGCTTGTCTGCACATCTCAGGGTCTGCAGGCGCCGCCTCTACCCGCTTCTGCCAAGTCCACTTGGCCAGCTAGGCCCGGGTGCACCTGGGGCTCCTGCCTGACCATCACACACCTTGGGGATGGCGCCATTTTCCTCCACCAGCAGGGGAGCCCCACTGTGGGCGGGCAGGGCCTCCCCATCATCTCGGCAGACACAGCAGAAGAGCGAGTGGAGGATGCCCCGACTCCGGGGCTTCTGGGAAACTGCTGACTTCTGGTCACCTGAAGCAAGAAGGGAAGGTGGGCGCGCCGGCCCGCGGAGGCCGCATGCACCCGGGTCTCAGTCCCTTAAGCACAGGGAAGGTGAGCTTTCTCCCTCCATCGGCGGCCACACCAGGGTGGCTCTGGCCCCACCGGAAGCGCACCACGGGCCACTCGGCTCCGCAACGTGAGGAAACCTAGTGTGGCCAACTGTCAAGGAGTAGGTGGCTTGAAGGAGGGGACGGGTTTTTCTCACGGTTGGTCGTCCATCACCTGACCCCACACCTTACCTGAGCAGCCCCTGCTCAGGAACGTCAGGGCTCGGGGCCCCATCGTCCACTCCCACTCTCCCTCCATTCTGTCTACCCAGTGGGTCCAAAGTCCTCACTGAGCCTAGGCCCAGAGGCCAGTGTCCCGGGCCTGTCGGCCCCGCCTCCTCCACCCCACCCTGCCTCAACCTTAGACTTCTCAGAGGCCACGGCCTAAATGACAGACACCCCCCAGCCCCCACGCCGCCTTCCTCTAATCCTCTCTGCCTCCAGTCCCCGAAGAAGCTAGAGCTGGACGGTGGACAAATCCCGGGTGACTTCCCAAGCTTGGAGTCCGCAGGGGAGGGGGCTGGCTCCCCCACTCAGGCCAGCCCCAGGGGCCTGGAATGCTGCAGCCGGGGTGCCGCGCGCGCCCAGCCGGACACAGGGCTCGCCAAGTCTGTCCAGCAAGGCCAGCGGCTCTCTGCCTCCGAGGGTGCAGCCCGCACCTCCAGGCGTGGCGCCCAAGTTTGTTGGGAACGTGGTTGTGTGTTGGCGGGAGATACCTGCCAGGCTCCCCAGCCCGCTGTCACCTCCGCACCCTTTCCAGACCTCAGCCTGGAGGGGGCGGAGCCTCGGCGGGCGGCCGGCCGTCCGGCCTCACCCCCACCTTCTAGTCCCATTGGCGCCAAACTGGGGGAGGGGGCGACGCCCGGGAACCGCCAGCCTACTTGACCCGTCGCTGGCCCTCCTGCCTCAGTTTCCCTCCTAGAAGCAATACCGGAGCGCTCTAGTGGCGCCAGGCCCCGCCCAGCGCCTCCGACTCTCGCGGAGTTCGAACTCTCTCTCGGCCCCACTGGCGGGGGCTCCGGCTGGGCCGAGGCGCGCGCCCGGGGCAGTGGCAGCGGCTGCGGCGCGGGGACGGCCCCGAGCCCCGTCCTCCCCTCCCGCCGCCCGCGTACCTTTGCCCCGCAGCGGGCCCCGCGCCTCCTCCTTGCTGATCTGAGTAATGACGGCCGAGCTGTCCATGGGGCCCGGCGCGCTCCGCTCCGGCCGGACTCTGGCCCCGGCGCCCGGCCTCCCCCCCGGCTCGGGCCGGAATCGGGGCGCGGGGGGGAGGGGAGGGTGGGAGGGAGGGATCCCCGCGAGCTTCGGAGGGGAGGGGAGCCAGGTTCTCGGGGGGAGGGGGAGGGAGGGGGCGCGGAGGAAACTTTGTTACAACATGGAGTTTCCTCCCCGCGAGGCGGATGCAAACATGGAACCCGGGCGCCGTTTCAAGGCTCCCCCTTAAAAGGGCAACGGCTTCGGCGGGACCGGGGCTCGGCCGCAGCTTTCATCACTTCTGGGGCCCGGCGGGCTGGGAGGCGGGCCGGGTTCCTGCGGAGATCCAGGGGGCGTCGCCTCTCTTCCTGCGGCGTGCTGGCGGCCCCGAGCCTCTGCGGCTGCGTGGCATGGAGAACCGCGCTAACCCGCCGCCGCAGGCCAGGGAGCCCCGGGCGCCCGGTCCCGGAGTGCCCTAAGGCGACGCGGCTCCACCTCCGCGCATTCCAAGGGGCTGACACGAGTTGCTCCCGTCTGCTCCTGCGGAAAATGGATGACGCTAACTTTCTGTAAAATGGGTGTTTGCTTTTTTTTTTTTTTTTTTCAATTTTAAACATTTTTTGTGTGTGGCCTTGCAAAGATGTGCACCACGTAGAGGCAATGCACGCAGCGGCCAGAAGAGGGCGTCATATTCCCCCCTGGAACTGGAGTTAATAGATGGTCTTGAGCCCCTATAAGGCTCCTTGGAACGGAAATCCGGTCCTTTAAAGAGTTGCGAGTGACTCTGGGCCATCTTTCCAGATCTTAAAAAAAAAATTTTTTTTAAGTTATACTTATTTGTGTATGAAGGGGGTTGCACGTTCCCCGAGTGAAGATCAGTGGTTCTCCTCTTCCACTGTTTGAGGGCCGCATCGCTCTCAAGCGGTCAGGTTTGCCAGCGGGAACCACTACCCCCTAAGCCTTCCCGCCGCCCCTCCAGTGGGTCTTTTGTCTGACGTTGTGGATATCGGAGGAAAAAAATAAAGACATTTCTTTGCCAGCTCCAGTTACGAAAACTCATCAAATGATGGAATTTCAGAGAGAGTGGCTTTTATTTCTGTGCGTCTGTATGCCAGAGCCTTCGGAGGCCAGAAGAGGGCGTCAGATCCCCTAGAGCTGGAGTTACAGGCCGCTGTGCGTGGGTGCTGGACTCCGAACTCTCTCGGGTGGTCTGCGAGAGCGGTACTTTTCCCTCCCTCCCGTGCTCACTTATGTTCTCGATCCAGCTACAACTATCAGCGCCCAGCGCAGTCTCGAGGACATCTCGGGATGTGAAAATTCCGCTCCCGCACCTACCTTCACCGCTTGTCCTGTGGCAAATCTAGCCCTCTCTCCCTGCCAAGAGGTTAGCGTACCGCCGGCAGAGGCCGAGCCTTTCTGCTGCTTCGGGGCCTTGTATCTTGTACGTGCTGTTCCCTCAGCTCGGAACGTGCCTCCTCGTCCTTGGCAGAGCCAGATCCCTTCCAACCAGAAGAAATGCCACCTTGTTCAGAGGTCCTCCGCCCCCACCCCACCGCTCCTATCTGTGATTATTAGAGGGGCCGGTTCCAGGGCTGGCGCTGTTCCCAAGTGCCCAGGGGACGCCCGCGGAGGGAGGGTCCAAGCGCCCGCCCTTGGGGGCCCGAGACTGCAACTATTCAGATTTTAAAGACACGTGTCACCGGCCCTGCGGTGACACACAGCCCAGCCAGGGCCTGGAGGTGCGTCTACACAACAGGGTCTTCTGGCAGGAAGCTCCCGGTTGCGTTCCCTGAGGCTGCGGTTTGTTTATTTTTATTTTTTATTTTTATTTTTCCTGCTTTACAAAGTTCCTTTCATTCGTCGTAATTTTAAAAATACGGATGCCAAGCTTTGACAGGCACGCCCCACTTCCTCCCTTGGGCACTGGGGCCGGGCAGGGCGGGCGCGTTCTGTCACTTCCCAGTAGAGAGGGGACCAGGGGCCGGCTCAGCTGGCGCACTAGCCGGGTGCCCCAGACCAACCGGGCCTGTGGAGCGCTGCTCCCTGACGCCTGCCTGCTTCTGCCCTTGGGGAGCCCCAGGGCTGCCATCCTTACAACTCAAGGACTTCACCTCCAAGGGATCTCGAGGGACGATCCCCTCCTTGCGTCCAGCTTGGGAAAGTGAAGGCGCGAGCCCAGGCCCTTCCGCCTCTGCTCTGCCAGGCCCGCTAGGGCTGCCTCCACCCACCCTCCCCGCACTATTTGTCCCCAGAAGGAAATGTGTGACCCGAAGTTGAATGAGCCCCCTGTTCAGCGACTGGCTGCCCTCGATTCCCTAACCCCGGCCACCCAGAACACTGACCCCAGGCTTCAGGCGCCACCCCCAAACAAAACCCTATCACCCCCCTCCAGGCCTCAGCTGGTGGTCCCTTCTGGACACGGAGGGTTCACATCTGCAGGAAGCTCTCCCCCTGTTCCGGTGAGAACTGCATCGACAGTCCGGAGGGGAGGGCCTTTCCCCACACAGTCTATTGTGATCATTATTTTAATGGCTGCACCCCCAAGAAAATAATACTGTTTGAGTTGCTAGCGGTAGGGGCGGGTATGACGACCAACAGGACTAAGGCGGATACTGTAGGGTAACTGAGGGCTCCCTGGGGCACCTCAGGTTGCCCCTTGTGGCATGGGACGGGCCATGTGCAGAAGGCCCTGGTAGAAAGCCCTCAGCTGGTTCCTGGGAAGCAGGGAGGTAGCAGGTTAGTCCCCACCTAGGGCCTATGTCGCATTCAGGGAAATTCTAAGCTAGGCCTCCTTAAATTCGGCCTGAGGTTTTTTTTTTTTTTTTTTTTTTTGGGGGGGGGGTCACGTCACCAGGGGTTCCACAGCTTTGGAGGAGCACTAAGCAGTGAGTGACCTCTGGCTGGAAACCCCCCGGCCTTGACCTGACCTTATCTCTGACCCTAGGCCTCCAAAGCACCTTAGCTGACCCTCCTTATCTTTTGTTTTGTTTTGCTTTTTTGAGATACGGTTTCTCTGACTAGCATTGGCTGTCTTATACTGGCTCTGTAGACCATGCTGACCTTGAACTAACAGAGCTCCACCTGCTTCTGCCTCCCAGAGTCGCTAGGATCACAGGTGTTCGCCACTGCACCCAGCTCCATCCACTCCTGTCTTAATAATAATAATAATAAATTTTTTAATTCTCAGCACTCGGCAAGCAAATTTCTGAGTTCGAGGCCGGCCTCTTCTACAACGTTCCAGGAGAGCCAGGGTTACACTGAGAAACTCTTTCTGGCATTGGGCGAGGGGAGTTAGATGGCTATTTTATTTCTTGGTTGTGTGAGCACGAATGTGCCACAGTGCATGTCTGGAGGTAGCGAATCCACCCTGTGGGTCCCAGGATGGAATCTGCTCCTCAGGTACTGTGGCTGGTCCCTCGATCTATGGGGCCATCTCACTGGCCCCCAGGTTTACTATCATTATCATTTATTACTGTCGCATATGTAGCCTTTGCTGGCCTGCCCCGAATTCGCAGAGCTCCACCCTCATCTGCCTTCAGGGCGCTGATATTAACGAGTGTGCCGCGATGCCCGGGGCTAAGATTTATTTTTATGTAGTAATGGTTAGTGTAAGTCGCGAGTGTTGGGGTGCCTTTGCAGGCTTGAAGAGTGTTGCGTCCCCTGCAGCTGGAGTTCCAGGCTGTTGTGAATGGCCATATGCCACACCCTTGCCAGGTAAGTGCAGTCACGTGGAGGGGCCAACCTACCTCCTCAGCGCTCAACTCTCCGTCCTAGACCTAACTACGCACCTGTGGTCATCGTTGACAGCCTTGTCCTAGTTTAACTTTCCAAATCCTGCCCTCGGCGTGCTCCGGTCATCTCCCTGAACTTACTGGCTCAGGTGCCTATCTTGGCCTCACCCGCTTTCCTTAAAGCTGCTGGACAGCTGACAACCTCTTTTAATTTGGGAAGTTACCTCTCCTCCACTTCTAGCACGGGGTCTACCACAAAAAAAAAAAAAAAAAAAAAAAAAAAAAAGACCAATGAATGCCAAGAGAATCGCCAGAATGTGCAGCAAGTTAAGGAACACTTGGGAGAAACTCAAGGGGAATCTGGGAGACGCTTTCTTCGCCAGCGTCAAGTTCAGGGGCAAGCCCCAAGGGCTGGGGAGGTGCCCCCCCCC